ATGCACACGCACACGCACACGCACACATAAAAAGAAAACAAATATGAGTGTGCCAGAAGTCCTTCTCTAACGTTTTTTTTTTTTTTTTTTTTTTTTTTTTTTTTTTTTTTTTTTTTTTTTTTTTAAACCTTTGTTAGCAAATATAGTAATATAATAATAGTATTGTGCTAGTGTATTGTAATAGCTTGAGTACTAGGCCGTCGTGCCAAACACGGTCGAATGCCTTTTCGATGTCTAAAAAGACACCGACGACTATCAACCGTGGTTGTACTCGGCGGCCAGGTGGTGCAGCACGCACGCCAGCTGTAGAGTGGTCGAATGCCTGGACCGAAAGCCGAACTGTTCACTCCTAGGAGTGAAATGCTCGGCCAACAGTCCGAGCAACAACCTCTCAAACAGCTTAGCTATGTGCGCTTGTAGCGTGATGGGGCGGTAGCTTCCGCCCCATCACGCTACAAGCTTAGGATCTACGGAAACGGCAAGGGGATGGGGCTGGAATTGCCCCTGTAGATGGTCGGTCAGAATGTCTGACCTGTCCTTGGCTGTGTAACAACGTGTGCACGTTGCGTCTAGCAACGGGCACACGGTTGGTAGCCGGTCCTGAGTCGTGCCTGAGGGAGATTGGGCGACCATGGCCGCCTCCCTAGTGGCCACAATGGCATCCATTATGGCCATGGAGGCGTCTTCGATCGCCTCAGGGGTGGCGAGCGCGCCGCTAAGGGAGTACCCGTCGAGTTCGCGCTGAAACGCCGCACAGTCGATCCTCCTTCTAGGGGGCGGCGCAGGAATGAATGTGGCCGCTACGACAAGCGTGATCAATACCGGGAGATGAGCCGTGTTAAAATAGTACAACACCTCCCGGTTAATGGGCCAGGGGATATTCTTGGACAACACTATGTCTAGGATGTCCGGTACGTGCCAAGGATTGGTAGGGATGTGAGTGGGAGAGGAGGGGCCGACGATTTCATAACCGCCGCTCTCAGCATCTTGAAACAGCCACAAACCGTACTTCGACACGCGGGACGACCACACGCGGTGTATTTCTCGTTAAGGTCGGCCGCCAGAATAGTCGGCTTGTTGCTGTCTATGATAGCTCGGATATCAATAGAGCGAAAGTGATCGGCGGGCGGACGATAGCCTGCAAACAGGCGAAATTCTAAACCCCCTGCGTTCAAAGATATTCCGTTGGAATGCAGGGTCTTAGTGTTATTATGTTATGTATTAGTATTAACAAACACTATAAGTCACAAAATGTCCCTTAATAGTACTAATATTACTCAGAAGATGTCGCCTCTGAAAGTTTATAGTACTACTACTACTACTTAAAAGATGTCACTACTAAAAGATCATTATTTCCTAATAGTAATACTATTGGATATAAGATGTCGCTAAAGAAGAAATTACATAGCGCTATAATTTCATCTGATCACTCATAGCCATAATGTTAGTAGTAACACTATTTGTCAGAAGATGTCGACACTGAAAGTTTACAAGTCGCTAAAATCTTTCATGCACAAACTAGCACATTCAATTGGATACAAAATGAACCTACGGTTTAGGTTAGGTTAGGTTAGGTTAGGTTAGGTTAGGTTAGGTTAGGTTAGGTTAGGTTAGGTTAGGTTAGGTTAGGTTAGGTTAGGTTAGGTTAGGTTAGGTTAGGTTAGGTTAGGTTAGGTTAGGTTAGGTTAGGTTAGGTTAGGTTAGGTTAGGTTGGGGTGCTGGGTCGGAAAACCTCCAAGAGTGCCCTGGCTCATTGTACGGTCACTTGTCCTGGTGCGGATACGTCCGGCGGGAACGGTGGCTGACAATGGCTGGGGCCTGGTGCATCCTGGGCAACGGCGGTAAGTGACTTCTCGCTGTAGAGATCTCACTTACCGACGGCTAATATTCCGACAGAGGTGGTGAGCGGCGAGCCCAAGTTATGGGGTTTGTCGTGTTTTCGTTGGGGGCGGGTTTTGTTCCGCGACTTCTCGTAGTGGGAGTTGTCGGCGGGCCCGGTGAGTGCTTCGTTGCGCAATCGGGCTGGTTTCAGTGCCACCGCCGAAAAACCGTAATCCCTCGCGAAGGTGTGGTCATGTTTCGCACCGGAGTGAGGGGACGGGGGCCTTGGCTTAATCGCCTGGGCCGCGAGGAGTAAACCTCTATAAAAATCCTCTTGTGTAAGCTTCGGTGCCTGGCGATGCATAGTTCGTTGTGCGGTGCACGCTACCGGACATCATAAGTTCGGTTAGCGTGTTCTGTGCCGCGGGCGGGTCGGTGGAGTATCATCGGCCGCAAGGGCACCAACCTCGGGGTATCTGCCGCACCCCGTTGTATGTAGGCCGCACGCAGAAGCAGGGGGCTCCCCTGCGTGTGAAACCTTTCCCCCATACTCGTGGGAACAAGTATGGAAATATCAAAAACAAAAACAAAACCCAAAATTGATGTCGTGTCTGAGAAGGACGGTGAGAAAGTAGTGCCTGAGAAGGGCGGAGAGAAGTTGGTGCCTGAGAAGGGCGTAGAAAGTAAGAAGTCGGGGCTAGAACTCCTGAAAGAGTGTTCGGTAGTACTGGGCGAAGATGTTGGTCTCTTAGGTCGTCGTCGTACTCGCCATAGTCTGTTGAGAGCGGTTGCGGGCGAGATCGACTGCGGGTCTACGCGGTCGAGCTCGTGTGCAACCCCAACTGAGGAGATGGAAATGGAACCGTTGCCGTCCACGTCTGGTCTCCGCTCCTGGCGTAAAAGACACATTGCTGAGTCTGACACAGACTCTATAGTTGAGGATGAGGGCGATGTCCAGTCCGCCCGCAAAAGGTCCGGCAGCCCTAGAGTGGGGTCGAGAGCAAGTTCTCGCACAAGGAAGAAGGAGGAATGTCGGCGGCAGTTCAGCTACCGATTCTTTGAGGACGATGTAACCGGAGCGGTCCCTGGGGCGGGTGCTACCAAGTCTGGATTACCTCCAGCGACGGCCCTGGATTATCATGAGAGTGACTTCTTCTCCTCAGGGGATGAAGCGTCGGATATACTGTCGGAGTCGGATAGGCCGACGGCGTCTGGCGCCACTGCCACTGCCGCCGCCGAGAATAAGAATAAAGTGGCCGAGGAGGTAATCCGCAGGGCGAAGTGTCTCGTCCACCGGCAAGCGGATGCTCTCACTGATGTTGTGAAGAAGGCAGGGAACCTCAAAGGGACCACCATAAGGACCCTGAAAGAGGGTTTGGCCGGGATCACACAGGTTGTGGACACCTTGGAGGGGGGATCTATTTCCGACGTCGGTCTCTCCACTGGTCTCAAAGAACCTGAGACTTGAGCAGGAAGTCGAGTACCTGCGTCGGCAGTTGGCCGAGGCTCGTGCTGCCAAGCCAGCTGCCAAGCCAGCGGCCAATGCCGGTATCTCGGCGGATGTTGTCCCTGTCGTAGGGAGTGAGGCGAGCGCGTTCCGCGCTCAAATAATGAGGGACGTCGGCGGAATCGTCCGCCAAATGGTAGGGACGCTTATGAAGGAGGTGAAAGAGATGATCTCTGCTCTCCCCTCCACTGAGAAGGTGTCGTCTGCGTCAGCGGTCTCCACGCAAACCCTGCCAGAGGCTGGAACAATGGCGTCAGATGTGCCCGACCCCCCGAGAGTCGGCGACCGGGGTTCTCTTCCCCAGTCAGAAACGGGTCGGGCCAAGAAAAAGAAGGCGAAGAAGACGCCCGTCACACCGGCGCCTTCTGGACAGCCCGAGTCGGTAGCAACAACATCCGCTCAGCCACCTGTGCAGGCGACCGTGTCCTCCTGGGCGACGGTCGTAAAAGGAAAACGGGGCAAGACCGTCAGTGTTCCCGAAGGGCAGCCTGTGGCTGTCAACCCTCCGGTGACGAAAGCCGGTTCGGCCCCCTCGAAGAAGGCAAAGAAGACGAGCGCACCCTCGCCTTCTAAACTAAAACCGCCTCGCTCCGCGGCGGTTATTATTACGTTGGACCCGGAGGCGGAAAGGGAGGGTGTCGCGTATGCGAATGTCCTTGCGGAGGCCAAGAGAAGGATCGATCTCCGCGCATTGGGGATCGAAGATATGCGGTTTCGCACCGCGATCACCGGCGGTAAGGTTCTAGAGGTTCCAGGTGCTGATGGCGCGGAGAAGGCCGACGTTCTGGCGTCGAAGCTCCGGGAGTTCATCCCGGAGAATATGGCCAAAATCTCCAGGCCCGTAAAGTCCGCGGAGATGCGGATATCGGGCCTGGACGACAGTGTTACGTCGGAGGAAGTGGTCGCTGCGGTTGCCCGGGAGGGCGGCTGTCAGGTGGACCAAGTGCGAGTCGGAGAGGTTCGACGTACTAGATCTGGGGTGGGCACTTGCTGGGTTAAAGCTCCATTGCAAGCAGTTAAGAAGATGACGGTCGCCGGCCGAGTTCGTATAGGCTGGGTTTCGGCGAAAGCAGAGCTCCTGCGGCAGAGGCCGCTTCGGTGCTTCCGCTGCTTGGAGGAAGGACATGTGCGGGCATCCTGCAGTCATGAGCAGGACCGCAGCGGTCTATGTTACCGTTGCGGAAACGAAGGCCATAAGGCGGCGATGTGCGCGGCCGACCCAAAGTGCGCTGTGTGTTCAGCGCAGGGCCGGCCGTCGGACCATTGGGTGGGGTCCAAGGCCTGCACTCCTCCTAAGAAGCGTAAGAAGCAACCGGTGAAATTGCCGAACCCAGCAGGCCGGGTGAGTGTGGAGGGAGAGGAGATGGAAACGGGCAGGTAGTCCCGCCCTCCTCTCCGGCGATAATTACATCGCCACAGGGCCGGGGTGACGACTGCGGGGGCAGTCCCACCCCATACCAACATGGCCCTGGGAAGTCGCGCGCGCATCCCCGCGCGCTTCCCCTAGACGGGGGTGGGTATTCAACATCTCGTACCCGCCCCAAACTGAGTCGGGGCCCGCGAGCCGGTGCGGGCCAACGCCGTTGGGATCCCGGTGGACTACGCAAGGGAACCCGGGTCCCCAACACAAAGGCGCGGCGAGGGAATGCCATGTGGTTTTTAGCCGGTAGGAGTCCGGCAGTATTCACACCCTCCCCCGGGGGTGTGTCTCTGCATGACGCATTTTCCACATGTAAAAAAAAAAAAAAAAAAAAAAAAAAGGTTAGGTTAGGTTAGGTTAGGTTAGGTTAGGTTAGGTTAGGTTAGGTTAGGTTAGGTTAGGTTAGGTTAGGTTAGGTTAGGTTAGGTTAGGGTTAGGTTAGGTTGGGGTGCTGGGTCGGAAAACCTCCAAGAGTGCCCTGGCTCATTGTACGGTCACTTGTCCTGGTGCGGATACGTCCGGCGGGAACGGTGGCTGACAATGGCTGGGGCCTGGTGCATCCTGGGCAACGGCGGTAAGTGACTTCTCGCTATTTAGAGATCTCACTTACCGACGGCTAATATTCCGACAGAGGTGGTGTGCGGCGAGCCCAAGTTGGGTTCGTTGTGTTTTCGTTGCGGGGGCGGGTTCTGTCCCGTGGCTCCTCGTAGTAGGAGTGGTCGGCGGGCCCGGCGGGTGCTTTGCTGCGCAGCCGGGCTGGCTTCTGTGCCACCGCTGAAAAACCGTAATCCCTCACGAAGGCGTGGTCATGTCTTACACCTGAGTGAGGGGACGGGGGCCTTGGCTTAACCGCCCGGGCCGCGAGGAGTAAACCTCTATAAAAATCCGTTTGTACCAAGTTCCGGTGCCCGGCGAGGGGCAGCTCATTCTGCGGATCGCGCCGTGGGGCGCAAATTCCTGTGTTCGACGTCGTGCTTCGTGGAATGGGTGGTCGGTAACGTCATATCGGCCGTTAGGGCACCAACCGCTGGGCACCTGCCGCACCCAGTGTGTATTAGGCCGCACATGGAAGCAGGGGGCGACCCCATGTGTGACTTCATCCCCCATACTCGTGGGAATCAAATGGAATCATTGAATATAAAAAACTCTTTTGACGTTTTGGAGTCCGAGAAGGACGGCGTGATGTTGGAGCCCGTGAAGGGCGGAGCGACGTTGGAGCCCGGGAAGGGCGGTGTGGTGACGGAGCCCGGGAAGGGCGGAGAGAAAGAGATGGTGAGACTGAAGGAGTGCGCGGTGGTGTTGACTCGAAGCCCGAGTGTTGCACTCAACAGAACCGCAAGCGAGGAAAGGATGGATGTTATGGATTCATCGGATACGGGTAGCTTGATGACTGTTGCGTCGCTACCCATGGAGGGGACCAAGTCCACTGAGGGGGAGTTGAGCTCCAAATTTTTCAGGGGCCGACTCCGGGCGGGGTCAAAAAGACGATGTTTACGGACGAGCTCGGATTCCGACTCTGGCTCGGAAATAATGCAGGGGTCATCGCCTTCCTCCCAGGCGAAAGGAGCGCGCAGAGGACGTGGTCGGCCGCCAACAACCGGCCAATATGTCGGGCTCGCCAAAGCTCAGGAATACCTGAACAAGGTCAAGAGGGAAGAGCTTGAGCTGCGGGCTATGGAGGAAGTTTCGGACCTGGCACGCCGGGTTCTTCCGCGCAGAGGCGCGCAGGCAGCGTTGCCCGCTGCGGAAGAGGCGAAAACAACCCATGAGCTGTCCAAAGTGATTGATGACGCCATGGAAGTGGTCGCCCAAATTGCTGCCAGGTCTAAAAACCTGAAGGGTGGCTATGTTCGCGACCTAAAAAACGTGGTCGCAACAGTCAGGTCGGCGACAGTGAACATAGCCAATTGTACCTCTTCTGAGGACAACATGAAGCTGATCGAGGAGAATGCGCGGCTGCGGGCGGAGCTGAATGACGTCCGCAAGGAGCTCCAAGAAGTACGCGCCGAAGTGCGTTCTATAAGTGAGAGGCCGGCTGCGCTGCCCGTCAACTCCCCTCAATTACTGGGGAACCAGGACGTCCTAGACCAGCTGATGCTGATGATTAGGAATGCCATCGATGAAAAAATTGATGGCATCAGAGACCGGCTGCTACCGGAAAAGAGGCGTATCCCGCTTG